GGAAGTCAGGAACAGTTAAGCCGACATGATAGCGGATTGGGGGCGGACTTGAGAAACCAATTGAATCGGAGAAACACTCGGAGCCGGGAGAACGAGACAACGTCGCCGCCGACACCACCGATAAACCAACAGCCGCCTCAGGTGCAGCTCACCCCAGAACAACTACACGCGATCGGGCGTGCCTTCGCCGAGGCGAGTCGAGGAGTAAGAGAACAGTCTGTCACTCGTTTACCGCAACACAATCAACAGCCGTCTCATAGGCCCGACGACCGGCAACAGAACCGCCGAGCCGAGAGCCAGCCGGTACAGTCCGTTCATTCTCGGCTAGGTCCGAGCGCCGGACGGCGGTCGGCGAGAGAACGACTAGGTCGGAGGGAATCCAGTCGTACCCCGTTGGCTGCTCGCGATCGGCAGACTGCACGCGAGAAAAACCGTACCAGAAGAACCAGGACTGAGGCTCGTCGCATAGAGCAGCCCGTCCGCAACCGCGACGAACCGACCGAGTCGGAGGTCCGTGAGAGCACGGAATCAACAGGAAATCATACCCGGGAGAGGGTCGAAGTGGCAAACTTAGTCCAAGAAGTGCGAAATCTGAGAGAGCAGATGGAGGGAAAAACCAAAGCCCCAGGACGTACGTTATTAACCGCCTTGCCCTTTTCGGACAAGATTATGGCCTTTAAAATACCGGGTGATTTCAAATTCACAGAGCAAGCCACGTTCGATGGGTCCGGCGACCCTCGAGCATTTGCTGAGCTACCAAGCCAAGATGCAGGTCTTGGGAGTTCAAGACCCGGTCATGTGCCGCGCTTTTCTGCCCATATTAAAAGGCCCGGCACAAAGATGGCTAGTGGCACAGTCGCCGGGGTCGATTCCTAGCTTCGAAGAGATAGCGGACCGCTTTATGAGCCTTATGCCTAATATCAGACCACAAAAAGACCTGACACACCTAGGCGACATTCATCAGGATGAGGGCGAGTCCTTAAAAACCTATCTGGCCCGTTGGCAGAAAGAAATCCAGTCTATAGAGGAGGTCGAGGACCAGACGGCACTCACCTTCTTCATTGAGTCCCTGCGGTCCGGCCAGCTATACCGAGATCTGCGGGACAACCGCCCGGCTACCTACGCGGAAGCCATCCATATGGCCAACAAGAGGGCCAACACAGAGCAGGCTATAAAACACAAACATCAGCGCGAAGTCGGCGGGTCCGCCAATGGAAAGAGAACGCGAGCCGAAACCAAGGAAAGGCGCCCGGACGCGACCCGACGATCCGAAATCAGGCGACCATACGACAGGCCCGCCGTACACCCCTATCGGCCGGCTCCCGAACGGCCGGTGCATGAAATACAAGCGGTCGCCCCGCCTCCGCCTCAGCCGATTGATGACCGCACCACGGGCGAGGAGACGGGTAAGACCTCTAAATATTGTCGTTACCATAAATCTTGATAAGGGTCAATGATCCATGGTGGACCCCTTCTTAATTAATTAAGGAATTTTAACCTCTTTTAATTGCAAACAATTAAATAATTAGTCTGGGTTAGAGGCCGTAACACGGGGTGTTACAGTAGGAGCTGATCACGCAGGTTGTCGGACCTCGTTTGGGGGCACTTGACCCCGTCCGCGCGTGTACGCATCAAAGGCTTTTACTAGCAACTCTGCAAAACTGGCTTGGGCCTGAGCGACAGGCGCGGGCGGGTTCCTCCCCCTACCCCCCCCCCCCCCCCCCCGAGGGTACAGGAGTCGGCGCGACAGTACGCGTGGTACGTGTAGCCGAATGCTCTCCGGAAGCGTGGCGGCTTAGCTACTCCCTCAGGTCACCAACGGATGCGCAGCTGCTGGCGGGCAGCTCTGGCGAGTTTGCGATAACTGCCACATGCCCGTTAACCGGCGGGGCGGCAACGTTGGAACTGGTGTTGCGATTGCTACGTCTTCCTACGTGCCATCGGTAAAGCTTGGAAACAGGACCTTTAGTTTCGATCCCCACGGACGGCGCCAATGTTGGTTTTCACAGCCTTGATGGCCGCTCGGCAGGCCAACACTACCGAAAAGATGTTTATGCGAGATAGTGAAAACAAAGATAAAGTGATAAAGAGAGAATAATGTTGTATTATTTCTCTAGGGTTTTGCCCTCGAAAATGCCGATGGTTGATGTTGCTAGCACCTTATCCAACCTTTCCTCTATCCAGCTATCAGTATCGCCGCTCCTCTCCCGGGTAAATTGATGCCCTCGCATGGGTAACTGCACCAAACCACACTCATCTACCACCTCCCCAAAGCCGCGAAGGAGGCTATCTGGATGTGGATTTCCTCCCTTCTTCTCATGTTGAAACAAGAGATCATTAAAATCTCCTATCAGAACCCAAGGCAGTGCTGATCTACTACTCAACGCACCGAGTAATGCCCATGAATCCCTCCTCTTATTCCGCTCTAGGAAACCATAAAAACACGTCATACGCCAAACCTTATCATCTTTAATACGAACCTCAACATCTACGTGATTCTTAGAGAATCTCAGTAGTCTAGCAGTATTATTTCTTCTCCAAAACAACGCCAATCCCCCACTCAAACGCATGTTGTCCACATAAAATAAACCATCAAAACCAAGCTTGTTGCGGAGCCGTTCTGCATGTATCCGCCCAACATTAGTTTCCATTAAATACACAAAATCGGGCTTCTTACGGGACACTATGTCCACAATTTCACGAAGTGTATGTGGATTGCCCAAGCCACGATAGTTCCAGCTCAGAGTACCCATAATGATGGGCGGGTCTAGGAACCAGAGCCCGCCGATAACAAGTTTTTTTGCACTTCACGCATAGTTACATACTTACATCACCACCATCCATCACCCCCTGCATGGCCGAATCACTTGCCAACTCTCGCCGGCACTTCGCCGGTGCAATCACTACCGGTTCCTCCCCCTGACCACCCGTAACCTCGACCGAGGCTACCGACTCAATTCGCTTTCCAGCCTCACCAACAAAAACCGACTTCCCATCCCTACCGAGCAACCACGGCGCCGCCACCTTTCTCGGCTCCTTCCTCAAACCAGCTCGCATCTCATATCGAATATTGATCCACCGGTATCGTCGAGTTGCGAGCCTTTAGACAATATTTAAACAAATGGCCAAGCACACTATAGTAGAACCAAAAAGTATGAAGCTATTCGTACTTAAAGTTCACCCAACAGGTCGTCTTGTCACGCTTCAGGAGTTTCATGCGGCGTTTAAGGGACTTGACCACCGGAATAGCCACCCTGATACGGTAAAAGGTTTTCCATGGTGCACCAGAAAATCTATCATCAACCCGCACAAACGAACCAACAAAATTTCCAATTTGTTCTAGAATCACATCTGAGGTATATCCAAGAGGGAGATCATGAACCTGAACCCACATCTCCACCGTATCAAGAGCCACCTGCACTGGTAGGGTTCCGTCCGTAACCTGCTAACATACAAGCGTGTTGTTCTCAAACGACCATGGGCCACCATCCGGAACTAGTTGCATATCAGTCCCATGATAGAAAACGAACAGGAATAAACCCGGCTGAATCTCCGTAACCTGCACCCCCTTTACCGGTTACCAGACCGAAGCCATGACCTGGCTCATGAATTCAACCTTGATGACCTTGGTAGTCAGAAACCTACCAATAAGCCGCCATATCTCCTCATCCTCCGCCACAGCCGCGTCGTGACCCCCATCCGCCGGCACAAACACGTCTTCTTCCTCGTCTAGCGCCAAGTCTGCCCATCGGGCCGTAATTCCGACGACCGCCCCAGACGACGTAGCTGCCTCCATACAGACAACGTCGTTCGTAGTTCTTAGCGTGGAGATAGCTGATATCAACTGGAGAGAAGCAAGGACATTCGGAAAAGCTGAAAACCTATGTCGGAACACCTAGAGAGAGGAAAAAAACCCTAGAGAGCTAGAGAGGGGAAACTATTTAATTTACTCGTGAAAAGGATCTATGTAAACAAATAATTTAATAATTGCTGACACATAATAATATAATATGATAGCTACAGGTACAGAAACTATGTGAATGTGTCAACTATAGATACAGAATCTTAAGGTTATTTTTGGATGAGGGTCTACAATGCAAGGTAAACCCTGGTCTATGAAAGTCCACATAAAAATAACGTCATTTTGCTTAATTTTATTTTTCACGTGCCCGACTACAACATACATTTTTATAATTCATAATGTATATTATTTTAACACATAATGTACATTATTCTAATACATAATGTACATTATTCTAACACATAATTTACATTATTTTTACCTATAATATTTACAATGATGTTTTTGGACACAATAAATTGCCGTACAATCCATTGCTTCCCAAAAACCAATAATGTAATACCCTCTAAAGTCTAAATTGATCTTTCATGATGGACTTGAGTCCAGTCCATATCATTATAGATATCTTTGTATCTCCATGATCCCATCTCCATAAACAGTTCAACACAACAATTTTTCATCCATCCAATATTTTCAAGTTTTTCAGATATGGCCCCCTATGGCCGTATCTATAGTACATGATAAATCAAACATTATCCATAAATAACTTATGAATCTTGTTTCGAATTAATTATATAAACCATATTATTAAATTATACAATATTTGTTCAATGTAAATATAGGTATAAGAGACTTATAACAATATAAGTTCATTTTCTTGTAAACAAGTATGGGGATAACTTCCCTCGTTTGAAGTTTCAATCCAAAAATAAACTCAATTTTGAATTAATGCCAAGGACCTTATAGTCCAATGGCACCAAATTGCTCCCTATAAAGGAGGTTATGGGATTGAGTCTCAGTGGATGCGATATTGACTCTTTGTGCTTCAATAAGTTGAGAAAGTAATTATAAACAGATACTACATTGTAATAGAGTCAGTAGTATTCAAAAAAATAATAATAAAAAAATCAACATATGCTTACTAGATATTAAGGGACCAGAATACTCGGCTCGAAACCCCACCCAAAAATAAGTGATATAAAGCAAGCACGATGGCATTAATTTCCGGTGAAAATGAGATAAAACCATGTCTGTATGTAGAGTATATACATATGAAAACAACCTAGCGGTCTAGCTGGCCTACTTAAGACTCGAGAATTCAGTATTACTCCAACAAAATTAGACTAGAGTATACCCTTAACTACGTTCAAAACACGAACATATTCAAAGAAAAGAGAACTTTCTTTACCTTCTAATCCATCTCTGCTCACCCTGTTGCTCCCTGAAAGGTTATTGCATGGACTTCCCCCAATCACTAGATCAAATCCCCCAACTGAAGCCATTACTCGCTTTATCTCATCCCTTTCCAACCCTTCTATGTCACCATACTCGACAAGATTACCGGTTTGATTACTTTGCTCCCACCAGCTTCTCATCACAGTCCTACTAACTTCTGATTTTTCAACAGAAACTACATTCTTCAAATGGATTCCAAGTCTGTGGAGAGCCACTTCAGCACCCCCAATCCCGGAGAAGAGTGACAGTACATTGATACCTCTAGGATATAATTCCTTCAATACTGAGAGATGATATGCCACTGTGTCAACCTGATGAAAGATGTATAGCAGTTAGTGGTGAGGTGAACTGTTTTAGTAGAAAAACATTAGGCAATCACTTTAGCCCAAGTATTGCTTAGTGACTCAGTTCACAAGATCGAGATCGATAAATTTAAACACAACATGAAGTAGATAATTGAGGGCATATAATCACCTGGAATGAGTTGCCAAGTGCCTTGTATCTATCTGTCCTACTTATCCCTCTTGTGTGGCTCTTTGGGAACCCTAATAGCATTTCAACTTCATCAGGCTCTAGAGGGGCTACTTTGTTCAGTCCCACCCAAACCAGATTCCATCTTCGGCATTCTTCAAGAACATAGTTCTGCACTGCCAAAGGTGGCTCACCAACAGAGACTTCCAAGGCATTGCGGATCCTTTCTGTTAGTTTTGCACTTCCAACTGCACTTTGTATGCAGTTAAGCTTGGTGCGATAATCCCATGCAGGCCACCATCTCCTTGTTAAAGGCAATGCTTCATGTATGGTGCGTGGGGGAAGTGGAAGTAGGGGGAATCGATTCTCAATAGGCAAATTATGTATATACCCCCTCTTCCTTGCAGAAGCACTAAAATACAAGGAGTCAACAAACTCTGGTTCAACATCAAACAGGTGTCTGGTTATAGTTTCCCAGACACCTTTTGGTGCTAGAGCAACATTCTCATAATAAAAATAGGGAGGACCAGTTGCTTCACTGGAAATAGTCCTTCCCTGAAATGTAGGACTTGTCTCAGTCGGTACACCAAACCCAACCATTGGTTTTGGCAGGCGAAGTGGCTGATTATCTTCATCAAAGACACCCGTCTGCCTTTTCTTTCTTTGCAACTCGTAGTTATATAGCTTCCTCCTTTTATGTCTATCATTTGCATTAGATGGATTCTTCAACTTTGGCTGTGACAATAGGAAACACATCCATTGTAGAAAAAATTAACAAAAACCTGCTAGAAAGATGCACATACCATTCGAAGCAGTAATATACTTCTATTAAAACTAATCATTTTCTTTTCACGTCAACATTTGACTAGGAAGAGCAGACCTTGATATCATCTTCTTGCCAATAGAGAGAATCTGACTTTGCCACTTGAGCAGCAGAGATAAAATCTATCAATTCAGCCACAGTGGCTTCTGGACCTACCAAAGTGAATGACAACAAGATGCAAAATAAGAATACTAGAGAAAAGGAAAAAACTTTAGAAACTCCAAGAAAGTATCACAGGAGCATCCAAATATCCAATGCTGAACAAGAAACTAGCACATCATTCTTTAGCCAACACAGAAAGTGAAGAAAAATTAATCCAAGCTAAGAAATATTGAATTTAAAGAGTAAATGTAATATCCAAGCTTTCAAGAAGGTATTGTGAAAATTCCCATTTTCTATGAAATGACCAAAACATCAATCCAACAAGCTTCAATCCGTATGGAAAAAGACATCTAGCAAGCTTCTTTAGTTAGAGAAATCTCAGCATAACAATTTAATAGAATCTGCAAGTAAATGCCTCATTCAGTTATTTGACCATCATCACAACAATACAGTGTGATAATGCATGCAAAGGATAAACTTGTTTATCGTACAAACCACATCTGTCCATAGCTAGTGAAGCCTCCTCCATTGGGTAACCCATATTTGTGAGGTCCAATAGTCTTCTCTCCTTGTCAGATAAGGTATCGGCATTTTCCTGCAAGTGGTAGCTTTCAATAGAACTATTTGACTACCAAAAAATGAAGCAGTTTTTTATGGTAGAAGGCTGTAAAAACTGGCCAAAGAACTGATACATTCACAAGGAGTAAAGACTTTAGAAACCTACATAGTCTAAGGAGTTATTTCACAGTAAAGGCCGACATAGTTTGTCACAATTTATTGCATCAGACCACTAAAATATAAGACAAACTTGGAAGTACTAGACTATTACTCTAACATCCTTGCTACTTTATTTTTCAGCTTTGCAAAATGACAGAGGCCAATTAGTGAGTTTCCATTAGTTTTTCAAGATCTAAAATCCATTTGGGGTCAAGTTTCAAGGTTCCTAGTTCATGAGGAGTTCTACAGTTTGACATATCACTTGCATTGGAAAACATATTTTACATGCTAAAACATCAAACTACAGTAGCCATTTCACTTGTAATTCACCTTAAGCAAAAAAACATAAAAGAGTTCTTTCCAGCATTTTTATGGAATCACACACACACACACCAGCCAAATATTGAATGTAGTAGAGATAACATTATGATAATCTATTGGATTTCATTCATCTATATGTATGGATAATAAATAAGAATATTGATCAATGAAAACATACCTCATCATCCTCCGACCAACTGTAGGTGTCAGACAAGTCATCCAGAAAGTTCTCATTATATCCTGAAGAGCTCTCATCACTGTTGAGACATGGCTTGTGTTGGGGAGAGATAGCACAAGGATTTTCACTTAAAGAATTCTCAAGAACCTGCAGAGAAAGACCCATCACAAAGAAGAGGAAATTTATACAAATAAAAATAAAAATAAAAATAAATAAAAAATACAAAAAAAAAAAAAAAGTGTGATCAAATAGAAGGATTGAAGCGTTGGAATGTAGTTCCATGCAAATGGAGCAAGGTGGTACACTAATACAATCATGTTTGTCTATTTTCATAATCACTAGAGCAAGGACATAGGTACATTGACAATCATGGTTCAATCAAGACCATTCTGGGGGCATATGCTTGCTATCATAGGAAATTAGCAACTTACAGAGGCTGTTGGTATCGCCTATTTTCATTGTAAACCAATTCAACTTTGAAAGGTGGTTTTAACTAGTCCAATTAAGTGACACTATTTTAATCAATTATTCTATAGTCAGCATACCCTAACTTCAAGCATGTTCCTTGAAGACTTGTAACTAGACAGTCATTAAATGATAAAGAACAATGTATTAAGAGAGTTAATGGAACTTGGAAGAATGAAGCAGGATTACTAACTGAATATGTCAAAAGAGTTTCCAGTATCAATTCTGAGTCTTCTCCTGTGCATTGATGGCAAATGTCACAGATAAAATTTCTAATAGCAACAGGTATCCATTTAATGCATTCAAAATGAAGATACCATTTTGTTCTATTGCTTTTGCAACTAGTTCTCTTGGAAATCCCATCCCAACAAAATTCTGAATCAACTTGGAGCAGGGAGTAGATGATGAGCTTGCCTTCAAACATAAGAAAATTAATTCAAAGACAAATAAGGGATTAAAGGGTCAATTGAAACCATTTTTAGGCAAGGAAAAAAAAAATCAAAAAAGAAATTATCATGTCTTTTAACATACTAATAAGCTCTTATAAAATAATACTGATATGCAATGCAGTCTCATTTCTAATGGATTACATTATGAGATAGGACTAATAAGAGAAGGGGAACAGACACTTCTCTTATAAGTGAATTTAGAACAAAATTTTACACTTCGAGTCAATTTAGGTTCTTGATGAATCTAAGTCGAAAGACAAAGAAGAAACCAAATAGCATACCAGGCTAGACACAGCACCAATTTTTCTAACTTCAATGAGCGGATAGTCTAGATTTTGTCTGCTTCTTACCATGTAAAAGAACTAATTTTCTACATTAGAAGATGCACCAATGTACGACATATATCAAATGTTTTAAACATTTTGAAATATAACGCATCCCAAAATGGAGAACCCCCATCATATTATTCATCTGAAATGCCAAGGTCATAACATTTCACCTTTCAGCAACCTGCACTATGGTGTAGCTTAAAGCCAACATTTTAGAGCCATACTGGCAAGAAACTACTATCCATGCAATGTTATAGGCAGCTTTCTAATGATTAATAAAGCAAACCTTAGTACTCTGATTTGGTTTAACAAACTGCATGGGTTTACTATCACCACAAGCTCTTAAGTTTTACCTCCTCGTTGCTAGTTGCAGTCCTTCCACCAGTTGTATCCTCAATTTCTTGATCATCTTCAGAATTCCAGTCAATGTCATCAATATCTTTGGTGGAAGGATCTATGGTCTGTACAGATCCAAACAAATAAAGAATTTGGAAAAAAATGTGTGCTCTTCTTTGGTATCCCAAAAAAAGAGAAATTTGGATGATGAAATTTGATTACAGGAAAAGGACCTACCATGTTTGAATATATGCCCAAGTCAAGAATTCCAAGCTCTCTAACAGAAGATAAGACATGCACACAATAAGCACATCCATTTTACAATCTTACGAAAAGCAAAAGGGACTGACTAATTAGTGGTAAGCTAGAACCTTGTAATTAACAAGAATAAGAAATTCAGACTTCAGAATTTGTGTTGAAAATCAACATAAGGTTTCTTCACAAATTAAAATAATAGCAATGAACGAGTATTTTAGTTAGCAAAATGCATAGCAAAGTAAGCAAACATCAACTTGTGAATCTTCTTAAAGCTTGGTAATAATTGGTTGTTAAAAAGAACTTGGAATGTACTCGAAATACATTTTGATAATTAGCAATCTTTGTATGCTTCTACACCCTTTTAATGCAGGTCAACAGAAATACAAAGAGCAACCCACTGCACATATATGTGTGTGCATCATTTTGTGTCCCTGAGGATTTAAACACTCTTGCACAAACAACAATAAACAACTGGGAAAATGTTTGGATTTTAAGGCAACCCCCCAAAGTATTTTGATCTATTAAGACATAAAAAGTTGAATTGTGAGCTAGCTATAACTCTTGTAAATCCTAGGCATATGCATCCTGCCCTACCTTCAGAAATCTCTTAAAATCGCCTCAGAACGACATGCAACATTCTTATGGGTCCACTCAATAAATCAAATAGTAGTAAACCTCCCTTTCTCAAGTAAAACTGCCAATTTATCAATGTTTAGGGAATCCAATTAAAAATAAAATTTTAAAAAGTTTTGGAAAAAAAAAAAAAAAAAAAAAAAAACGCACACACACACACACTGGATAATCTTAGTGCAGATGCCTAATTATTTTGCCCTGCCTTCACCAAAACTTCTCTTACTAAAGAAGCAGGGCATTTAGCAGGTGCAAAAAATAACAACCACCTGCCAAAATTATCACAGATGATGCATGCATCCAATCCTTCTCACTTCTCGGCTTCTAACAGGTGATGGAGCGAAATTTAATTACGGAAAATGTAACTTTCACAACATATCGCATCACTATAGTATATACCACATGCAAACAAGGATCAGGGATTATAAACCAAAGATCAAGCGAAAAGAAGCATAAAAAAAGTTCCAAGGAAAAGCATCATCTAGAAATTTGGAATTAGAGAGCGTAGCTTTTACCTATATCGTCCAAAGAGAAAACAGAACAGTTGAGCTCAAGCATTCAAATACTCGTAGAAGTTTGAAAATTGAGCGATAACACAAGTTTAAGATGCGTACACAGCTACACTGAGAGATGCACGTAAAGGAAAATTTGAGAAAAACGATAAGAGATTCTCAGAGTGGAGTGGCGGAGACGGAGACGGGGAGGGAGTGGAGTGAGCATTTAGAGGACAGAGTCCAAGCTGCAGAGGAGAGTGGGAGTACCGACCTGCTGCAGCATATTCACACTGCTGTTGTTACGCGCCACGCCACGTAGGAAACTGCACGAACTCCAGCCGTTAGACGTTCGTATTAAGAATTTTGCAATAATTCCCATAAAAGTTTAGTAATTTTCAACCAACTTTCATTTTTTTTATAAGTCAATAACGACTTATTGAAACATAAAGAGTCCATAACACTTCCATCATATGGGAGTGTCATTTCTTTCCACTAGATCAGAAAATTCAAGATGACCCTTTTTGTATAATTGTAAATATATAAAAGATATATTATATTGTATAGTATCACAATATATAATAGTCTATAAAAAATTTATTATTCTAATTTTCACTTGAAATTAAAAGTGACATTCTTCTTCTTCTTCAGGCATATTTAGATGTAAAATCATTCACCAATCTATTGAATCTTTTTTACAATATACTTGATCGTAAGTAAGATTTCGACAACTTCAACTTTAAAAACCTTTTTTATGCATAAAACAACAGTAATGCAAATAGTCAACACTATTTGATATTGCAATTGTAGCATCAAAATACAAGAAATTATATTGTTATTCACCTATCAAAAAATTAAATTCCTAACTGAATTACTAATTTAAAAATTCTGAATAAAATTAAAGAATTAAAATATTTAACTTACACACTTTCATCTGTGAAGAATAAAAAAATTGAGAATGTCAAATACACAAATAACACACTTCAAATTAATGATTACTGATATTGAATTCCCGCGTTGTGAATATAAATCTTGCGTGTATGCATTATAATATGAATAAGAGTAATTTTTGACTCTTTATATATAATAATTTTACAATAGTCAAATAGGTCCGCTTCAATTCCTATAAATTATAGTACTATAACTTTATATGTAAATCAAATTCTTTGGAATTAGAAACGTAAGCTTTTTAGAATTTTAAACCTTCTTAATTTCTTCGTACATAAGTCAAACCAACACTAATATATAAAAGATAAATATACAATAATATATATATATTTTTTAATACAAGTGCCCCCAAAAATTTGGAGGCACAAAAGTTATATGCTCACTGAGTCACCGTTGCTAGCTAGCGTATGTAATAATGTAAGTACATACATACATTTGGGGCCCCTAAAATTTGGGGGCCCTGTGCGCATGCCCGGGCCAAACATGGCCAGGGACGGCCCTGCTTGTTACATATTTTCATAGGCCATTTTCAATACTTGGAGGTTTTTTTTTTCAGTTTTTTATGGGTCTCAACATTCACCTCATCATTCATTATCTCACTTAATTATAAAAACCCTTCTCCACATTAGTTTGAGTTTTATCTCAATTTTTTATGGACCCACCATTTTACTATCTTATATTTTATTTATTTATTTATTATCATTCTAAAAATTATAATTATAAAATTCATCCAATGTTATTAATAATTATTATAAATTTAATATATTATTATTATTATTGATAAGTGTTGATTTTAGGGTTTTTGGGCCCAGGGAGGTCCAACACAACCGTGGTTGGTGGATTCACCTTTCAAAAATAGAATGGGATGAAAGACTCTTGCGAATGTGTGTATCTATTTTCCTGGCATGAACTCGCCCCCCTTTACAGCTTTTGAGGAGCCTTTTATAGTAGGTCTCTTTTGGATTTGATTTAAAACATACATTTAAGGCCATAATTGGCCCATTAACTATACTTTATCTCTAAAGGTCGTTAGGCTGCCGTTATTGGGCCTCCCAACGGCTCTTTGACCGGGTTCTTAAACATCCTCTTAAATGCTCCAACGGTCTCTTGGCACTCGCGCCGACCTCGGGGTCGGGCCGACTCCTTGGCTCGATCCATGCCTCTCCTGGGCCCTCCCTCTTTTGGGCTTGGTCCCTTTTCTTCTTGGGCCCCGAGCCCACTCTTGATTTCTGGGCTTCTTCTCTTCTTCCCAGGCTTTGGGCCCGGGGTCCACACCCCATCAACTAGTCCCTCACTTTTCAATATTCAGTCTTCTCACTCGAATGTTGGAAAGTAACCGTACGCTTACTGCAAAATCCCGGAATCTCTTATAATCTCCCTCCTTCAATGGCCGGATAATGTCCGGATCCTACGCGATTTGCCGGATTCGCCGGATCCGTTTTAACTCTTTCCTCCATTCCTCAGACTTATAAATAGTACTTCTGTTATTGGATTTTCCTCATCCCCTTGGTCAGTATGGGTCGCTCTCCCATAAAAGGGATGAAAGATCGATTTCGTGTCGCCGCCTCGCCCCCTCCTTCCAAGCGATCGAGGTTGGAGAAAGGCAAGAAGAAAGCTCACAAACCCTCCTCCCGGAGGCATCATTCCTGCTCTACTTCTTCTGACTTGCGGATGACGACTGAGGCCCTGCCTCCGGTGGTGGACTCCTCTTCTCTGACTGATCCTTCACCCTAGACCAAGGCCCGTGTCACGGCCCAGGACGGGCCTTTCGTCGAGGTGGCGGTCCTAGAGCAATTGGCCTTCAAAATGACGTTCACCATCCCTCTAGATGACCTCAATGGGCAGGCCACCGACCTAATGTCGGATGCTGACTTTACTCGCTATCTCGAGCTATACCCTGACGATTAAGCACCTGTGGCTCCGCCCCTGATGCCGACCTTCTGGGACTCAGTCTGCCCATCTTCGACTGGCCCATTGGAGGAGATGGCCTTCCTGGACGAGCCCTCCTCGTCGGACGAGTGAATTGCACCACCTGAGGCCTTCGAGAAGCGAGATGTGATGTCGAGTGAGATTCAGTGAGGGACTGTGAGAGGAACCCCTATTAGTATGAATAAAGTTCCTTTCTTTCTCAATGTATTGCCCCCTTTTCAATAAAATTGAGTAGACTGATTTCCTGACTTTGCCTTCTTTTCTTTCTTCCGTATACAATTATGCTCGTTATTCATCCGACCCTTTAGTCGGCCTATGCACTGCCCGAGGTCTGACACTTGCGATTTTCCAGTATCTTTGGAAGATCCTACTTTTCAGGCCATGGCAGGAATCTTGTTCTTCCCGAGCGAAATTGATGGGATCTTTCACTGACGCAGATTCCTGACTCTTATCCCCTCCTTCTTTCCTGCCCAATGATGGCAGTTTTGATTCTCCTCCGTGATTAGCTCCTTGGGATTCGCTTGGCATAGTTATAAATAGGGCCTTTCTCTACTTACCTTCCTCACTTCTCCTTAACACCTTTTGCAGCCGTTATTTCTCCCTTTGCTTCGACATGAGCTACAAAGATGGCGACCGGCGTTCCTCCATCCGTCTGAAAGAGCATGCTCGATTGGAGAAGCTGAGGCAGCAAAGGTTAGCCCATGGTGGCTACTTGGTGGGCGACACCGGTTCAGATCCCATCGTGGTCCCCCCTGACATGCTTGACGTGGTTCCGGTGGACTCATCCAACCGGCGAGTGGATCTGGTGGTGAACGAGCCACCCTTGGACGAGGAGGTGGTATGGGAGGTTCCTCCGCTTTTTGGGGTGGCCATGTCTCCCAGCGCTCTTGAAAGGAATCTTCAGATGATCGATGACGGGGAGCCGCCAGTCAACGTAGATGATGTACCGGATTCAGATCCAACTCCGCCTCCTTTCCAGCCTCGACTGTTCCTGGAAGGTCCGCCTCCTCCCACTCGTCCGTCCGAGGAGAAAGCCAAACCGTGATCCCCCTTTTTTATGCTTCTTAGTTTGTATCGTTACTATGATGTAGGCCTTTTCGCCTTGATTTATAAACGTTCTGTCTTGTTTTCCCTATTTTTGGAGAAATAGCTTTGCCTCGTCGCCTTTTTAATAGCTTTCCTTTTACCGACACGACCTCTCGTTGAGGGCGCTCGGACTCGTTTGTCCGATTTTGAGGTTGGCGGTGACTCCAGGCCTCGATCTCGGCTTCCATTTACGTCGAGTTGGCCCACTCATCCACCTCGATGGTTATCGGAGTCGAGCTGTAAGCGCCGACTCTTCACTCGACTGGCTCCGAGACTTGCCCGCAGATAGTCTTGACTAGGCAGGTATTAGGGCGGCCCCAAAGGGATTGTGGAGAGATTGGGCCTGGGATTGGACAGGTCGGGTCATTCTGTCTCCTCGCATACCTAGACGCGCCGTCTGGGCTAACCCTAGCTTCAACCGTTGTTCTGTTTTTCGAGGGCATTTAAGGCAGTCATCTCTTCACATCTAATGAACCTCTCTCACCCTCCTATGGGTGATTGACACGTGGTGGCCCCTTGGGATTCTCCCCAGTTTAAATACATCTCCTCTTCTCCCCATTGTCTACTTCGTTTCAAAAGAGAGCAAAAGAGAGAAATCGAGCCACCAGTGGACCCCGCTCTTCTCCTCGCATCCTGCCGAAACCTTTACAGGTTGGTGAACATATTCGAGTCATGTCTTCTTCTTCCTCTCCTTCTCATCGTCCGGCGGGGTCATCCGCCACTTCCTCCTTGTCTTCTTCTTCATCATCTTCTTCTTCTTCTTCTTCATATTCTCGCCGTCGGGAGGTTCCTTCAGACCTCCCTTCCCCGTCTTATCCTCAACCAGCCCTGTTTTCCTCCGGGGCGGCTATGCCTTTGAGTCCGGCCCCACTAACAACAGTGGCGGCCTTGCCCGATGGCCTTCAACGGCCGAAGGGTAGTTTCGAATCAATAGCTCATCCGGCGGATACTCCATCGCTTGTATCGGCGGCAAACCTTGAGATGGCCCGCTATCTTCTCGGTCCGTCGGCCGTCGTTCTTCCGCCGGAAAACCGGCCCATTTTTGACCCGTTGGA